CACATACAGAAGTGTGTAAGTTACATATTCTTTTGTCTTGCCAAAATCTGTAAGCAGAAGCCCACTGTGTGTGTGAGTATCCTCTCTTTTAAGATATACTATTCATAATTTCCAGGAGGTAAAGAAAGGAAAAGAAAAAGGTTGCTTTTCACAAGCAAGGACTAGAAGACATAAAATTAATTGCCAATGTTAAGTAGAGGTGAGTCCACATAAGTGGGCCCAGCCTTAGGGGTAGGTCTCAATTCTTACATTATAGGGTTAAAAGGTTGTATTGATAAGCAACTCCAAATATATGTACTTAGGAGGTAATTGACAAAAATAATCCTTGGAATTTCTAGTTCCTGGGCCAGGATAGAGGCCAGGCTGTCATGATGCACCCCAGTCTGGGGTTTTACAGCTCAAACTGTTTCTATTAACTTGGATCCAGAGCCAAGAGCAGAGGCCAGGATATGTAGGTGGCCTGTTCTGATGGAAGCATTTTCCCCACTGCTGCCACGTTAACAGTCTGTTCTTGAATCAGATGGAAATATCCCACCCTCCCTGACCCATCCAGGCTCCTGGACAGGATTGTCCTTGGCATGTTCCTTGCTGCCCACCCTCCCTGATTTCTGCCTCGCTATAGTGTGGAATTCTCAAGAACCCTGTGAAATTAAGGCAAGGATTCAATGGGAGACAATTTTGCTGACTATACTGAGCTTTTATAGCATCAGAAACAACTCAGGTTAATGTTTTTTTTGCTTTCTCCCTCCCTGGACCCAAGCCACTCCAGAGCTTGTATCTGAATATTTTGTTCTCATGTATATTTATTTATTTAGGAGTGGCATTCCTATTTTTATAGCTTTGAGTTTTTAATTTTCTTGTTAGCAGCATTAACAAGGTTCATGGCATATAAAGTGAGCTGTGGCATTTAAAAAATGTTGGCCTAATGTAACACCAGCCTTTTTTTATATACATGTTCAATGGCAAACTCCTACTGACAGGCAGAATGCATTTCTATGTCTGGGCAAGTTTATAGATGGTGTTCCCACCTCTGGGCCACAAGGTCACAAATTTGTTTCTGATTCTATTAAAGGAACACTCAACAATGGTAAGCTTGTGTGCTTCTTTTCTTTTTTTTTCCTTTTTTTTTTTTTTTTTTTTAATGAGAGGGGACTGTTTTATAAGATCCATGATCTTAAAGATACTCCAAGGAATCTCTGTTGGCTGCTGGGCTTTTCACCCCTGTGCCCTGACCAAATAACACTGACTGCAGATTTGAGAAGCTTTGTGTGTTAGCAGCTTGATCAGACAGATTTTGGAGAAATCTTGCACGGCTGAAAAAAGTACTGGAATTGTCCCTGTCATCTATCCATGTGTCTGCTCTGGTTTTAGTGGGGCTTCAGGGGATTTGCCTCTGCAGCAAAAGGATGTGCAGAAATTAGAGATTCACAAAACCTGCTGTCTGCTCCTCTTTCCCCAGCAGATTCTCTGTGTGACTTTGAGCGCCTCACCCAAGGGCTTTGCTGCCTGGCCCTGCACACCTGTGGGATGGAGGGAACAACTTTCCTCCCTTCCACTCTCTCCAAAGAGGTGCCTCCACCTCTTTGCAAGGTTCTAGAGGCAAGGCACTGAGAGGTCAATAAAGGCCTTTGCACCACAAACATTAATATTAATAATATTAATAACACAAATATTAATAAGGATATTTACTGAACTCGTGGCAAGGACAAGCAGAAAGATGAATCAGAGAGCCCTAGGAAACACCAGCCCTATTTTGTCTTGGGGATTAGTTTAGGTGTGTTCTCCTTTACGCCGTGTGGTGGCTCCAGCTGCAGCTTCCCCAGAGTAAGTGTTTACTGCCTCACGCCCAGCCTCATTTAACAAGAGAGGAGGCACAATCCAGCCTGGCCTCAGCCATGAAATCCCTTCGTGCTGGAACACACTCTGGGGCTTTGTGGCTACAAGCACACAGAGCCTTGGCTTGAGAAATGAGCAGGGGCCGGCAGAAAGATTGAGCTGATGGGGTGAAATTAGGAGCATGGGAGAGAGAGAATGCTGCTGAGTTTGGAGGAGGGAGGATAAACTCAAACGTCTGCTGAAAGAATTCCAGCTTCATCCATTACTGTCCAGAAGGCAGTCACAAAAAAAAGCAGAAGGGCAAGAAGCACAGCCCTTTCTGTGGGATGCTTTGGCTTATTGTGGTTAGGAGGATCAAGGCTAGGTATCACATGCCTCCGCTAAAGGGAGATGCCCTGGAATAAAGCAAGGAGCAGGAATTTCTAGGCCAGGGAAAAGGCTGATCATGTTGAAACTGAGCACAGGAAAGAGAATTTGACTGCAGTGTCTGACTGGAGGACTTTTAGCTACGTAAGAGGACTCCAGGTCTATTCTTTCTCTAATTTCCTTATGCCCCCAAGGAAGCTGTGGCTGGAAATTTGCTTCCATTTATGGGAGGACTGGAAGAATGAGGGCCAGACTGTGACTGAGCATCTGGCAATCAGAAAGAGGGTTCAAAGGAGAGGAAACAGCTCAAGCAGGATCTGAGAGTGCTATTCTGCACTGAAAATTGACCCCTGCAAGCGACAGGCTGCCACTGCTGGTCATTCCACGTGGGTATTTCTGCAAAGTGACAGCTCAGGAAACCCTCTGCAGCCTGGCTCCTGTAAGCTGACCTTGCACTCTGAAAATGATCATCACCTCAGCTTCTTGTGGCACAGGGAACTCCTGACAGATATTTTGTGCAGTATCACCTGCTTCAGATTCTCTCCTCCATGATAACAATGGGTGTGGATACCAACAGCAGCCACAAAACCATTACTGAACATCTTTGCTCAGAACAGACATTGCTTCCTAACAAGCACTTCCATTTTCCTTTGCTGTGTTTGGTCACCTGAAATATAACTGTTTATGAAACACCTTTACTAAAACATGTTTCAAGTCATCTTGCTTCTCCTGAGAAAGGCAAGTTTTTTCTGGCTTTGGAGAAATCTGCAATCCTCTTAAGTTTTTTAAGAATCCTGAGAGAAATTCCCTTAAAATAAAGATTTGCAGGAAGGGAGCAGGTATGTATCTCCCACAAAGCAGAGGCAGCTCTCCACTAGAGCAAACAATCTACTTCAGTTCCTGTGATCTCTGTTAATCTAGTTGCTGTTACAAACCACTTGGACAGTTTACAGTATCAATTCTGTGAGAAAAAGAGGAGTGGGTTTAATGTGTTTGTATTTTGGTCAGAAAATAATCCAAAACAGCCAGGGTGGCTTGTCCATGAGAGACAGGATCAATAAGCAAGCAATGATCAATTGCTTTGCCCCACATTTAGGCTTTCTACTTTGTTAAATGATACAGACACTCTGATTGTTCTAGAAAAGCTGGTGAAATGAATTAAAGCTAATCAAGAGCCTGTGACTTTTTTTGGGTTTTGTTGGCATCATGACACTGAGAAAGAAGTTGATCACAGTTTTCTGTATAGAAAAATAGCAGATATTTACCTTTCATGTTTATCCCTACCTAAAAGAGATCATTTTCCATAAATACTCTGTACCATTAGGCATGTATAACAAAAATGTTCTGCATATGTGAGCCCAGTGCTAAAACAACAAAGTACACTGACAAACACTGCTGCTCATCACTCCCAGCAGCATTCCCTACAAAACACAGTTTATGTGACAGTGCTGGAAGACTCAGGGCTTGCTTCTGGGAGGGAAGGATGAGCACCAGGGCTGCTGTGCACAGCTGGCTTGGGTTGGCTCCATCAGCTCCCCCAGCACACACTGCAAACCCCGCATCAGTGGCTGTTCTGCAGCACAGTAGCAGAGCTGGAGTGTGCACTGGACGAGATCCTGGAGGGGTGTAAATCAAAGGAACTGCACTGCAGGCAGCCCATCTGCTGCTCTTTGTGTCACCTCTGGTGTGGGACTACCCAGGACCACCATCACCCTCCGATGCCTTCTCACAGACAGCCACAAACATGCCATGTACATCCAACCCTTCCAGCAGCTACCCCCTGCACTCTCAGGGGTTCTCTCCCTTCCTTCTGCCCTTTCTTCCCTCCCTTCTTCCCCCCAAAACTGGCATCACTCAGCATTTTGGCCAGGAGACCAGTTCTCCAAACTGAGAACATCAAAGCATATCTCTGGTTAGATCTCATCCCAACCCTCCGAATCTGTTGACTTGGAAAGTGAATAACTAATAAGGCAGTATGCCATTGTTTTCTGTTTATGATAATGGAAATAAATTGTTGGCTCCAACTCAGGCACTGATTGTTCCTTTGATATCACTGCCAGGAAGCAAAATAAAATGGATTTTTAAAAATCACCTTTCACAGAAACTGCCACAGGCATTTGAAAGATGAGCCTTTTTCCATGTCAAAGGCTCTACCAGAAGTGCCAAATACATGAGAAGAAAAATTCAAACCCTTCACTGTTAAACAAAAACCAACAAAAACAAGAGCACAAGAGAGAATGTGAGAGCAGGATTGCCTGGGCAGCAGAGTGGTCTGGATGGGCTGGCACACCACAGATGTCCTGACAGTGCTCAGGAGGGAGCAGCAGAGCTGCCTCCACGGTGAGGAGCGCTTCCTGAAGAATATAGAACACATCCTTTGCATTCTCCCCCCAATAAAAAAAAGCACAGGTGGGCTGGATGAATTACTCTGTCTGCCTGGCAGCTCTTAAACTAATAATAAGAGACTTCAGGAGCCAGAAAGGCAAGGGGGTGCTTTGCCCCAGAACTTGAACCACTCATAAATCTTGCTCGTGTGTTTCTTTCGTGGTTTGGGGTTTTTTTTTTTTTAAGCTACATGAAGCAGCAATTTCATTGCATCTCCAATCCTTCACAGCATTTTAGTTCCTTCCCCATGGAATTTTAGGGGCAGGCTTTCAGGTGTTTGTATTTTTCTCAGGGTGCTACCACTCCTACCTAACATGTCAGGCATTGGCACCACAGTGACACACACAGGGAGAAGTTTCCTCCTCGGAGTTTGGAGCTGGATGCAGATCTTACACAATCAGAACACGGCGGTGTTTGGTTTTCATGATGTGCTGCAGTTTGATTTGGCTCAGAGCGGAGGATGGAGCAGAGAGCCAGATTCAGATCTCAGGCCAAACGTGGATTTTGTGTTTCAGCTACCAAACTCCATCATGGTTTGGCAAAGCCGTGCTCTCACCTGCTCACGCCATGTGGAGAACACCTGCGATCTGCTGGAAAGGAGGCGGCTCGTGCTCTGAGAAGCTCCCAGCAGGAGAGCCAGGCTACGAGAGCCTGGCCCTGGCTGCTGCAGGTGGACTGGGAGTGCAGAGACACTGGAACATGCTCAGAGGAAAAGCTGTGGTGTAAAGAGAAGCTGTCATGAGCAGAGTGCAGCTTTGTGCCTCTCCTTGGTGTCAGGATTCTCTGAACCTTTTCATTTCCAGCGCTGGGACTCAGACGCACAACAGCAGCAGCACGACCTGAGAGCAGATCGAGAGAAATAAGAAATATATCACATTCTGCAGAAGTCTGCTTCTGAAATAATCCCCCACACTGCCTCCAGACAGTGTTCTTGGATATCATTTTTGGAAGAACATGCTAGAAGACCCTTTTTTCCAAAGCTCAAACCAATACCACAACTTAAATGGCAAAAGATTTTGTGTGACAAACAGCATGGCCTGCTAAATATTAAGGCTGTTTGACATAGATTTTAGGCCCATGCTTGGCTCAAAGTGCATCCTAATTCAGCAAAGCATTGAAGCAAATGATTACCTTCAAGGCTGTAGCTGTGTCCCACAGAATGGGGCAATTTAATCGGGACTTTATGAAGTGCTTATGACATAGGTGCTGTTCTGAATTGAAAGTTTTGAAGGGTTCCCACCAAAGTGCCCTGGAATAAAATAAAGAATTTTGATTGGATTCAGCAAATATTCAGCCAGGAACTAATTTTTATACTTATTGTTAGCTTATAACAGGATATTTAGAAAGAAAAAGGAAGGACCTTTTTTTCTCCAGATAATACCATCTACTCTATTTCTGAAAATTAAGGGTGTGATTACTGACCCATAAGTACTTTATGATCACACTTTGGTTTGAACTTTTATGAGTGTATGTAGGTTTACTAACTCTAGCACTGCCCTGTAATTTATTTCCCAGGTGGGCCACGAAAGTCATCTGGAAGAAGGAAAACAGTGTCTAAGGTCTTGCTGTGCAAAGGGATGATTGTGCTAGCTGGATTTGTGCATGGATGTTTTTGGAAACAGTTTTCAGAGGAGAGGTAAAGTTTTCTAATAAAATCAAACCTTTTCCTTTAACCCAGAAGGAGCGCTTCAAATTCTTGTGTATTTCATTGAAAGACTGATGATTGCTCTCTGCTGCTCTTTTGAGGACAGAAACTGGGTTCTAAAGCAGCAAAAAGCTATTCAGACCCCAAAAGCTGCTGTGACAGAAGTGTGAAGAAGCTTTGAATGTCTTTGCAACCCTGTCACCCTTCTTTTCCCAGAAGACAATCACCTTCAGGGGCTTTGCACTGGACAGCATGACCCAGAGTTGTGGTACCCCAAGAACAGAACAAAAGTTTCAGGTGCCAAAAAGCAGCTTCTCTGTGCCCAGTGACTGCCCCTTTGCTGGTGAGAAGAGCTGAGTCAGTGATGCTCACCTGAGGCAGCTGCAGATGCTGTGGCACCCTGCAGGTCGACTCTTCAGTGCTGTTTGAATCCCAGAGCACTGTGCTTTGGCTGACAGTAGCTGGCACACCTGGAAATCACTTGCTGAACGTTGATCTGCCTTGGCTGAAGAGACAGAAATTAAACACCAGACCTGAAAATGCAGTTGATATTCTGGCACATGAACCATTAGTGATATTTACAGTCCCTGGAGACCAAGGAAGTATCACCCTCTGCCATGCAAACCCAATATTAAATGGAATTTCTGCTCCTGCAGCTGATGTTGCTTCTACTCATTCCACCCAGCAAGTTCCTGGGAATACTTCAATGCAAATTAAAATCTACTTAGTTCTCTTATAAAAAACTATCTTTGGCAGTATCTATGAAACTTCAGGAAAGTGATTCCCAAGGAATCACCTCCTGGACACAGCACAGCTCAGATTGCTGCGACACTCATGCTAAAGTTATCTTGGTTTAACTTTAAAGCAGCACCTCCCTGAGGAGCCCTCAATTCTGGAACGAGAGGCGTGTTTCTGTGTTCTGTGAGAGCCTGGATTATTTTTAATCTTCTGGACATGTTACAAAGATCAATTTATAGTCTCACAGAGACGGTAAGGACAAGGGTTTGCAGGCAGACACATTGGGGGTTGGCTCTTGTTGATTAGTGTATATTATTACTTCTGATTTTTCAAGGCATCTTTGACTTCCCTGCACTGCTTTCTTCATTTCAGAGAAAAAGTGGTGGGAACTGGCCCAGATGCAATGCAGCCACATTCTCTTAGCCCAGCAGTTTGAGCAATATATTACAAGCTGTGCAAGTCCTCACAGCTCTGGACAGGTGCTGTGCACTAAAAAAATACAGAAGATAATGGCACCAAAGCTTTCTTTTCCTCTCTCTGTCACCATTTTATATATACTATAATGAATTATGCCAAGGACTTTGTTCCCAAATTGCTTGAACATGGAAAAACATCTTGCTTGTAATTTTGAGACATGCAGCTTGACAGCATTTCCAATGTTATGCAAGGCTTCCAATGAGAATAGCAAGGACAGAGGTTGAGCAAAACTATGGCATGTGCTTCCCATAGTATTCCACCATGTACTTTTTAAAATTCTCTATTCATTCATGTTGCAGACCCAGCAGTTCAAATATTTATCACAGAATACAGCACAGATATGCAGACTCAATCTGTATACATTTCAGAGGTCATAAAAACCAGTGAGCAGGTTTTTTTCCAGTTCTACTTGAATCTCTCTTGAACCTTACTTATCAAAGTGCAATTCCTGACACTTAAAGGGACCCCAGTACAATTGTTCCCTTCATTTTGGCAGATGAAAAGCAAGAACCAGAGAGTTTTGTGTTATTTCCAACCAAGAGCCAAATGGCCTAGGTTTGCCCAAAGTTTCACAAACATATCTTCAGTAAAGCATTGGCAGGGCACTTTTACAAAATGCTGGTAATGTCCAGAGTTCCACACCCCCGAATTTAAAGCTTTGCCACCTTTGTTTTTAAAAAACTTCCACCATGATTGTTTCCATATCTTTGTAAGCATGGCCAGGACTTTTTAGACTGGATCACTTTCCAGGAATTACAACAAAGAATTTTAACTTTTGGAGTAGAGAAAGGGCTTTTTCTTTGCAAAATGTCATTCCTGGAAGTGCCATTCACCAGCGTTCCTTCCTGGCAGGTCCCAAGGGATCAGTCACAGGAAGGGCTGAGCTGAGGTGACACAGGTGGCTCCCAGGGCACGTCCCTCAGGTGCCATTTCAAACCACATGGCTCCCCTTCAGCTCTTGGAAACCCCCAGAGACACAAAGAGACATTTAGAAGAGTGGCACATCACCAGGCTACGCTTGAATTTCTGTGGAAATGTACTCGATTTCTCCAGCTCCACCTTGCCTGTTTCTGTCCCCGTGGAGATGCCCAAAGGCTGGGTGGTGGGACAAGGCTGTGCCCTGTGAACCCAGGCACTGTGAGCAGCAGGGGTGGCAGGTTCACTCCCAACACTTGCTCCTGATCCGAGCTGTGAACCAGAATGGAAATGCTCATGGAGGGGCACCCTGAGTGGGAAGCTCTGCTACAAATACAAAACAGATGCTAAAGGCTCGAGAAACATATTGTGACATGTTCAAAACCAGGGTCAGAAGCAGGAGCCAAAACAGGTTTTTCTCACTTCCTCATTGTTTTTTTATCTAGACTGCTGCTTCTTGAATTTAATGTTAAATTTTGAAGATTCATAGCCTTTCCTGGACATCTTTTATCCATGGTTAGCACTTTGTAATGTTAAAGGTTTGACTATTAAAATAAACATCCCAGTTACACACAGTTATCTGACATCAGTGAAATGGTGAAGTTCCTATTCCCTGAACACCTGTAAAGCTTTCATTTTCCCTCTCCAACAAAACTGAGATGACCTCCTCTTCCCCTTCCCCTGATACTTCTCTTCCTAAGGCCCACGGGGCTTTCTTGGCCTGTCTTAGCCTCAAATCAGAAGGCAGATGGATTTTCAATTTGAGCTTTATGGTTAGTAGTACCCCCTTCCCACTAAAATACTGCAGATTTCTGTGGTAATTCTACTTCCAGCATTGTCAAAAGTATGCAAAAGACAGGCCTGTTACATGTGAACACAATTTAAAGGGATAAAAATCCAGAAAGGAGTCATTTTTTTTTTATAAAGGCAGAGTTTTATTGACATATGGTATGGTCCAGAATTGGAACCTCCTATAAACTTGTGGGTCTTCTCTTGTGGAGGTCAGTATGTTCTTCAGACACTGAAAACAACAGCCCTTACTCTCTTACCCCGTCTCTAATAGCTCAAATATTGCCAGTGGCATTTTAATTCCTTCAATTAGAGCTCTGACAAGAGCACTCAGAGGCTTTGACTTCAGCTTGGCCCAGAGATCTTTCTGGAAATGGTCTTTTACACATTTCACAGACTGGGCATTTCAAGCATCCATGGCTGCATCGAAGAGGTGCAGACTTCAGTTCATCTAACCAGAGTGAAAAACCCACTAGCCCAAGCTGGCACATCACCCCAGAGCCTTACTGGTCCCTTTCAGAAGAGTCACTCTTCCCCCAGAGCATCACAAAAAAATAATCATCACTTAAGAGTCCAGAGATGATGGCTGGAGCCTATCCAAAACCCGACCTTGTAGGCCATCTCCAGCTGGTCCTGGCTGGAACCCCCTGGGGTGGACCCTGGGCCTATTTCACACACTTGCCATGTTTGCAGCAGCTGTGCTCGAGCACATGGGGGGTCCCTTTTCCTTGGCCTCATCTGGGGACAGCCCTGCTCCCTGGCAGCAAGGCCCAGGCACATCCTTGAGAAAGGCTGTTTTGGATTCTGGCTGAAAAAACAATCCTTCTGCCTTCAGTCCTGGCAGTGGTGCTGCTCTCCATTGCTCTGTGTCTATGAGCTGCAGGGATGACAGCTCTGCAATTTTCTTATAAAGCAAACACGCTTCGTTTTACCCCTGACAGCAGGCAATCCTGGGCCAGCAAATTACTGGCAAATGCCTCCTATATTCATCTCTTCAAGTGTTTTGGCTTTTCTTTACTTTTAATTTGCCTGGAGGCAGACATTTGAGATAACAGCTGTTATGGTGATATTATCAGTCAATCTGCATGTCAGAGAACGCCAGGAAAGTGCCTGTGGAGAGGACCTCTTGGGTTTTTGGTTTTAACTGCTCTGGGGCAAATCCATTCCTTTGTCAAACGCTCTGCTCAGAACATGAGAACATAATGGGACTGGTTTCTACCCTCTGATGATGAAGAAATGCCTTTCCCTGCTGATAGAGCACGGGTTCCCTTCCTGCTCCTTGATGATCTAGAGCAGTCCTTTGGCACACCATGCCACATTTTTTTTCTTGCTGTTGAGCTGTGTCAGAGCACATCTGCCACCAGCAACATCCCTGTGATCCTCTGGTGATTTACTTGCTGTAGAATAACTGTGGACACCCTAAGAAACCCCACTAAAAGGGATCTCTACCCTCTCATGGAAGACCCTGCATAGCTTTCCTGGGTCCAGTTATGTTTTCTGAGGAGGAAAGTTTCTTTGTTTCCTGAGGTGGAAGGCTCAGTGTCAAGAACCATCAACAAATAGGTCTGGAACTCCCTCTGACAGAGCTGAGCCATCTGCAAGAGGGCCAAAAAAGATTTATTAGTTCTTTAGAGAAGATGCCATGACACCACCAGGAAGGTGTTGGCTTGGGAATTATTGCTTTACACTTTTTTTCTTTTTTTTTTTTTTTTTTCCCACAGAAATACTGGATGACAATCCAAAACTTTGTAGCTTTGGAAACAAACTGGGATGTGCCCCTATTTGGTGTGTTAATGACAATAAGCCAGTTTGTCCTGTTAGTTTGATGAAACCTGACATGCTTTGCACTAGACAAACTTACACATTATGCTTTTATTGAAAACAATTTGTGTCTGAAGATCTTAAATGACTTTACTGACATTGAACTGGTGGGAAGATACCTAACACCTATGGTTATAGGTGTAACTAACACTTATGAAATGACCATGATTCCAAAGGAGCACTGGAATACAGGCATTTTGTGTGTCCCAAAGGAACTGCATATTTAACTGCTTACATATTTCCTAATATCTCTTAATTATGTGGTAACAGCAGAGATTTCCTTAACTTTACAAGAAGCTGTTTTGCTGGAAATGAAGAGCCCAGTTTTAGTCTGCACCCCACATCTCCTGACCAACAGTGGGCAAAATATTCAGACTACTGTGGTCTGTTTCCTCACCTGGAAAATGAGGAGATATCCTAAAAATATCCTAAAAATAGGGTTAAGCATTCCAATACCCCAGCAACAGAGCTCACACAGGCACCTGTGCAGTAGGAGAAATGCATGTGAAAGGGAAAGGTTGGGAAGGCAAGCCTTGAGCAGAGATCACAAAGGTTCCATCCAAGCAAACTGTTACCAAGTAAATCTTGTGGTTTGTTTCCCAGAAGTAGTTTTCTCAGCTTTGAAACACCTGTTCCCAAGTATCATCAGTTTATTAAAAGAAGCTGGCATTTTTGTGGGCTTGGAAGATGCACAAAGTAAGTGTGTGAAATTAATTTTCACCTATGGCACTCAGGTGCAGCAGTTTGGAACAGTGTT